ATGATACCAATTTTTGCAGACAAGTTCTAAATAGCATAACAGACCTATTTCAAGTTCCAAAATCAAATTCTAAATCCAATAGCTAAAAGTCAACCTATAGTCAAACTTTTCAACTTCAAATTGCCAAATTTTGGCAAAACAACACAAATCAACCTACAGACTTTCGAATTCGATTCCAGGCATATGCCAAAGTCCAAAATCACGATACAAAGTTATCAGAGCCATCAAAACAACGTTCTGGGGTCGCTTTCACAAAAGTCAACCATTGGTCAACATAAATAGTTTGGGCTTCTAAGCCAAGAATCAAAGGGTCCAAATCAACCCGAAAATCTTCCCGAAATGAAACTATCACTCATGTATGTCATAAAATCATAAACACACTTGTGTGAAGCATAAAAATGGGAAATGAGGTGCAATTATGCAAAACGACCGATCGGGTCGTTACACTTATATCGTCATCAATCTTACGACATTTGTGGGCAAAAAATCTCTACTCGATAACTTGAGTTGTCTTACTTGTCAAGTTTCATCCAACTAAAAGTTTTGTCATCGGAATGATGCTTCTGGTCAGCTTTGCTTGCTCCAACACTCTCTATTGGATGACGTTGGCTGAGCTTCCTGGGTCAACCAAAACACGTTTTATTTCAATATCTAAAACATTGAGAGAGATTACCAAAGCATCATTGTGGGGAAAAATGAGTCTGTCGGCGTCTTCTTCCATGAAGGTGATGTCATCCTCTGCAACTTCCTGAAGTCTCTTGTTGTGAGTTACTAATATCTTCGTTTTCTTTGCCGCTGAAAAGGTTACACCGTTAACTTCATTTCCCCCAAAAATCATATTGATAGTCAGCCGATGGGAGACTTCTGTTACCTTCGAAGGCTCTGTGTTGCCCTGATTTTAGCAGTAGTTGCTCTTGGACCGGTCACTTAAAGACTCCCTAAGATGGCCATTCTTCAACAATGTTGCCACATCCTCTAGAAGATATCGGAAGGCCCCAGTTTTATGGCCTTGAGTCCCATGATATTCACACCACAAAGTGGGATCCCTCTAGCTGGGATCAGATCGGATTGGCTTCGGGAACTATGCTTCTTTGATATTTTTCATTGCCAATACTAACTCTGCTAAGTTGATGTTAAAGTTGTAATCTGATAACCTGGGATATGTAGAATCTCGGGCCCTGAGCACCTCCTTCTCCTGTAACGACCTACTATTTCAGCCACAATTGATTCTTCTATCGGGAGTAAACTTATCCGATTATCAAAACCCTTTGCTGCTACATCCTTTAGTTCTTTCGTACGGTAAAAAATGACTTCTAGATGACCGTCGATCTGCATCAAAGTCACTTTTAAACTTGTCCTGGTTTTTGTCTCGATCCCATCCCTTAGTTGATACTGGGAACCCGAGATGATCGTCTTCTATCCTTATTTTTGACTCGTAACGGTTATGGACATCCGCCTATATGGTTGCTTAAAACTCGAGCAGGCTTTCCTTTAGCTTTTGGGAGGTAGCAGAGCTCTGTGGATTCAGACCCTTTGTGAATGCTTCCACTGCCCACTCATCTGGTACCGCCGGTAACAACATCCTCTTTTTCTAGAACCAGATCATGAACTCTCGCAGTAGTTCAGACTCGCCCTGCGCAATCCTGAATATGTCCGCCTTTTTAGTTTGAACCTTCCTTGCCCCGGCATGGGCCTTAATGAACGAGTCTGCAAGCATCTCAAAAGAGTCAATTGAATGCTCGGGTAAAAGAGAATACCATGCCAGGCCCCCCTTTGTGAGGGTTTCACCAAACTTCTTCAGCAAAACTGACTCGATCTTATGTTGAGCCAAATCGTTTCCTTTCACAGTCGTGGTATAGGTTATGATGTGCTCTTGCGGATCTGAAGTCCCATCATATTTTGGTATGTCCGACATCTTGAACCTTTTTGGAATTAACTTTGGTGTTGCGCTCGGCTTGAATGAAAATTGCGTGTATTTTTTCGAATCTGGGCCTTTTAGTACTGGCAGTGCTCTCGGAATTTGATCTATCTGAGCGTGAAACTCCTTCGCGTACTTATCCACTCGTTCATTTATTTCCCTCATAAACCTCATGAGCTCGGTTTTGAAAGGATCATTCCCGTTGTTATTCCCAGATCCGCTATCGGTCCCTCCGACTTCGTCAAAACTAACTTTACCCCTTGGGGTGTTGTTATCGACCATCTAAGTCGTTTGGTTTGCAGGAACAATGGAGGAATTGGGCCCTTTCCGTTCGCGTTATTGGAGGCGGCTGGCAATGCTTGTTTTAACTCGGTCATCACCCGATCCTGCCTTGAAAGGTGTTTCATGATCGCTTTTTGGTGTTCACTAAAACTTTTAACTGTTTCCATGACATGTTCCTCCTCTACATCATCGAGAGTCGGCTCGACCACATGCCGAGGATAATGGCCATCTTGAACCGGCGTCATCTCATCCCCTTAGTTGCGAGTCTCATTGATTGAGTCGTCATGTTGGGATAACTATTCGTGCTCGTCCACGTTGTGTGAGATGTTGACATCATCAGATGCCATATCTTCTTTTTTTACTAAGGAAAGAATCAAAACAAGTTAGTAATAAACGTGGATCAAAGCAATTACGCAACTGTCTAAGCCCCATGGTGCCAAACTGTTTACTCGTAAAACGGTACAGTTGAATTTGTTACGTAGTTAGTAGGCAAGTGAATTGATTTGATCCAAAAATGATAAAGAGATAATATTAATATTTAAGATTGGTAATTGAAATTTGAAGAAGATGACAAGCCTGGCTCCGAATGCAGTGTCTCCGAGAGCAAAAATGAAAATGACGATGAAGAGCAAATAAAATTGTTAAATTTAGAGTAAGAGTAGGAAAACCTTGCTTTTCTATGCAGAAAGTTTTCATATCCCTACAATAGCTGTTGACCCTGCTATTTATAACTTTACCTAGGGAAAAAGATCATAGGATCAAACTTCTCTTAAATGATAATAAAAGAGGTTATTGATGAACATGTAATGGCAGGCCATGAATGCAAATATTCTCTACAACGGTCGCTCATTTAATGTTAGTGAATATTCCCTCATTGAATGCTATCCGATGGCAAACCCTTGATCTTCTCCTGTGCACTACGCTCTCTTTGGGATTTACCCGATGTTGATTACATTCGTTGTATCTAGTATTGGTTGTTACTTGACTTGCCTTTTGCCTATCTTCGGGTCCACGTATCATGTTACCATTCGACCATCTTGCATAAACTAATTTTACCCTATACAGTGAGTTGTTGGGGCATGTGGACTCACGGTCCTACTGGGGTATTAGTTAGGGCATGTCACACACGTTCCTGTACAACGTATGGACTTATGTTCCTAATGTGTGTGGATATGAATCCGTCCCTCTAGAGTTACTTGATTACCCATGCTACCCAGGGCAGTGTGGGAGCATGTTTGATTATGATATCGATTGATGAATTTGAGTATAAAAGTGAAAGCTTTATTGGTTTAAATGACCCTTTGCTGAACTTTATGCATTTTTATATGCTTTACTTGTGCATATCGTCTATGTATGATGATTAATGCATTCTCTCTATGCATTGGACTTATTAATCGAGATAGGGTATTTCATATCACATGCTCTATCTGTTTATCTTTTTGTGTTGTTTCTATGCTTTATCTATATTAATGTTATGCATATGAATTGCACATGTGATTTAAGTGATATCTTTTTTACTTTTATATATTTTGTGCAAGTTCTACATCTTTTAGTAGTGGGACCCAAGACGCCATATAAGAGCTTTTGCTTGGAGACTCAAGTTAGAGTCGCTTGATGGTCTGCAATATCTTGAAGTCTCATTCCACTATCTATTTATTAAGTACTATTTTTCTCTCATCTAGAAAGTATACATAATTATATTTTAATTTAGTTGAAGTAGCTCGTGACCTCGTGACACTAATTTCTAGGGGTATTTTGATTATTTTGGATCAACTTATTTTTCTGTTAGACTTATTTATGGCTTTAAAATAATCAAATTTGTGGTTTATGCCCAACAGGCCGGGTTAGGGCACTTTGATGAGATTTTAGGTTCTGACATGAAGTGAAAAATTACATTTCAGCCAAAAGGTCTGAAGTGCAACCAACGTTTTCACGCACTTAAGACCAAATAGTCCTGAAGTGCGAATAGTCAGAAACAGAAATTTATTCTTCGAATTTTAACAAAACAATATACGATTTAATACCTAAATCTACTCCAAATGGCCTCAAATTTGAAACATAACCTCCAAATATCATCAGGAACAAACCCAATCATCAAATTGTCAAAACAACAATAAATCTAGCGAACCATTTTGTAATTAAGAAAAAGAAGAAACACTAAGCAATAGTAAAAAATAAAGCGACACAACAACTTACCACCGTATAACATCATAAACTACATGAAATATGTTCGCAAACACCATATAAAATTACTATTACCCGAAGAAGAAGAATAAGAAGAAGAAAAAAGAGGAGAAAGAGTATCAAGTTGATTAAACAACGAGTAAGTAATTTTTTTTTAAAAGTAGGTACTAATTAAATAGGCCCGTGCAATTTTTACAAATTTTTGAGCTAACAATGAAGAAAAACCTATCTCGAGTGAAGTTTCTAAGCTAAACCTTGAAAAGTTTTAAGTTCGAAATCTGGTGTTTTATTGGAATCTTGAGTTAATATTATGAAAGTAGCATTGAATTATTGTCTAAAAATTGAAGAAAATTGAAAACTCGATTGAGAATCAACCGAAGCTTAAAAAATTCTCAAATCTGATTTGAAATAAAATCTGAGATGTAGGTTGGAGGTCGTTCATTGGCAGAGATTGAGATTCCGTAAAGGATATGGGCATTTGTGATAAGTTTGTTAACATAAAGGTGTTTTTCTTTTTTCCTTTCTAAAAGGGAGCTTAAATGTAAAATAATTTAGGGGTAAGTTTGACCTTTTAGCCAATATTATATTCTTACTTAACGCAGTATAAAGGTACAGGCCGACCACCATTGCTCTTTCACGCTCTTTGCTCTTTCGCCTCCGACGGCAAATATTAGACATCTGTGGAAGAATTCGGCGGCAGCACCGTTAGTTATAGAGCTGAAGAATAACGTATTACTTTGTGCATTGGTTTCAATTTATTGTAGCATAGTATAAGAGATGCCGAAAGGTTTATTTCTTCACTTAATCCGTTTTTCACCATTACTTATTATTGATTAATACAAATTGATTGTTGATCTACAAAACTTGTATCTGAAATTTTCAGAGCTTCCTGGATTTTACTATGATGCGGAGAAGAACAGATATTTCCCTATTAAGGGTCCAATTCCTGGCTCTTCTAAGAAACGAAAATCGCCACCGCCTATTCTATCCAATAAGGTAATTACTACCGCTATTTTTGTTTTTTACTCTTACGAGGTTTTCGACCAGTAGTTTGCTTACATTTCGTTCTAAATGAAATTGAGATTCTTTTTTCGGCGGTAATAATACTCTCATTAAACTGGAACTACGAATATGATCTCGGTAGTAATAATACTCTCATCAAATTCCAACTAAGACAACAAAATTATGATCTTCCCCCTCTGCTCAAGCGCAGGTGGGAAGAGTTTACCTGATGGTGCACATAAGCTGGCCCAGGCCCTATTATTATAAAAAATTCTGTTTGATGTCCTGATTTATTTAATATGGATGTCAATATTTACATAATACAACAAAATCTATTTATGCAATATTGAGAGCTTATGTTAGCTTATATAGCACTGTATTTGGAAAAGGGGAAAAAAAGACAAGAGAAAAGTTAAGAAATTAGACCCAGGTTTATGTCACAGCTGTTGGAGTATTAGATATATATGTAAAAGGGCAAAAGGAATTGCTTTTAAGTGCTAGTGATAAAGATTATGCAATTATGACGCAATTAATATTTGCAATAATAGTGCAGTAAAAGCAAACTGTCAGGCAGAGAAAGCTGAAAACAGATACTATTACTGTGAAGATGCAAATTTGCTAGGGCAATCATTATTTTAGTTTGATTGTGTTATATGGCGGAATGTTCTACTACCTTTTTCTTGTATTTCACTTAATTATGAGAAACTTGGTTAGTTAGGATTCACATAGTCGACCTCAACTTGCTCGGGATTGAGGCATTCATATAGTTGACCTCAACTTGCTTGGGATTGAAGCATAGTTGTTGTTGTTAGCTTGATTCTGATGTATACTAGACATACCACTTGTTTTGGTTTTGCTTTAGTTTCTAATTAGTTTTAGGAGAAGAAAGCTATCTTTGGAAATTAGAAAGAGCAAAAGTTGCTAGAAGTCCTTTAAGTTTGTCTTTCTGGAATTTATCATTAAACGTTTAATTAAGCTGGAATTAAGATTTGTCAGGTTGCTTCTGCTAAGTGTATTTTAAGGAAATGTTTGAAGCATCACTAATTACTCACTGGTATGTTGTTGTTGTTTTGAAGCATTGCTAAGTTGTTACTTCTTCTACTCCCTCTGTGCTATTTTATGTGATGGTATTTGATTAGGTATGGAGTTAAAGATGTTTATTTGATTTATACTCTCAATTTCATTTTATATGACGATGTTTGATTGGGCACAAGAATTAAGTAAAGTCGTTTGACACATAAGCTAAATATATTGACATACAAAATGTACCCTTAAATTGTGGTCTTGGACATGCCATGTCATTTTTATAAGAGTATGTCATTAAGGCTAAATGCAAACTTTTTGGGTAGCTAATAAAAGAGTATGATTTATGTAAAGTAGCATAAAGGGAATGCTAGTGAAAAGTACGTCCATAAAAGAACTTGACTACTGACAAAGTCAAAAATGGCATATGGCTCTAACACATTTGCCATGACTATGCTGCACCAAAAACTATACAAAAATATACTTGACTTTGAGATGAACAACGTTTTCCTTCTGGTCAAAAACTCTAGCATTTCTCTCTCCTAATAACCCAACAAACCACAACAAGCATAGAGCTTCAGATGCCCAAACAAGCTATGGACATATCTTTTCTATGCCTAGAGAGTAAGAAATCCACCATATTTTTTGGCATACACCAACTAATGCCTAATGAATTGGTGATGTTGAATTCAAGAAGAAGAAGAGTTCTCTGTATTTCTTGTGTATTATTTACTTCTCAAGCAACAGATCATTATACAAAAGTGCTACAACTATTCTAGGAATGAAATAAAAGAGAATAATTACATAATATTCAGTTAAGCCAAGTAGGATACAATCTTCCTACAATCAAGCTATTAATTAGAGTATGATTGTTCTCCTACAATTAAGCCGGTCAACACTCCCCCTCATGTTGGTGTAAAGATGTCGCACATGCCCAACTTGCAAATCAGTGTATGGAAAGTCTGTTTGTTGAGACCTTTGATAAACATATCAGCTAGCTGCTTTTCTGATGACACATGGAACAAACTCAAGACACCACTCATGACTTTTTCTTTGATGAAGTGTCGATCAATTTCAACATGCTTTGTTCGGTCATGTTGGACTAGATTATTAGCTAAACTAATGGTGGCCTCGTTATCACAATACAAGGAATGTTTTCCTTTTTCTGACAATCCCAATTCCTCTAGTAGCTTTTGTAACCACAGAAGTTTACGGACACTCTGGCCATAGCTCTATATTCTGCCTATGCACTTTATTTGCCAACTACACTTTGCATTTCCTCCTACGAGTGTACAATAATCGGATGTAGATCTTCTGTTATCTAGAGATCCAGCCTAATCCGTGTTTGTAAAAAAGGCTTCTATCTGGAGGCGACCATGTTTGGAGAGAAGCAGACCTTTTCCAAGAGTAGACTTCAGATATTGCAGTATGTGAAGGACAACTTGTATATGTGGATCTCAGGGATAACTAACTCATTAGGCTGATTGAATAGGCTATGTCTAGTTTAGTGTGGGAGAAATAAATGAGTCTTCCAACCAATCTTTGATATCTCTCCTTATCAACTGACTCTCCAGTTCGGCTTTGTAACTTGTGATTGCTTTCAATGGGCAATTTCGCCGGTTCGCAACCTGTCATACCAATTTCTTTCAAGAGATCCAAAATATACTTCCTTTGAGAAATAAAAATTCCCTTTTCTGATCTAGCAACCTCAATTCCCAAGAAGTATTGCAATTTCGAGATCCTTGATTTCAAATTCCTATGCCAATAGCTTTTTCAATTGGGTCATCTCCTCTGTGTCATCTCTTGTTATAACTATAATCATCAACATAAACTATGAGAATAATGAGTTTACCCTTTTGATGTCTTATGAAGAGGGTGTGATGATCATTCCTTTGCTGTTAGCCGAAGGAGATCGTTGCTTTGCAGAACCTGTCAAACCAAGCTCTAGGGGATTGTTTCAGTTCGTACAAGGCTTTCTTCAGTCTGCACACTTTTCCTTAACTTTGATCAGTATTAAATCTAGGAGGAATCTCCAGTATACTGACTTTGATCATTATTACACCTCTTCTTTTAAATCTCCATGAAGAAATGCATTCTTCAAATCAAACTTTTGTAAGTCCCAATCAAGATTAGCGGCATAAGACAAAAGAATTATGATAGTGTTTATTTTAGCAACAGGGGCAAAAATATCTTGATAATCCACTCCATAAGACATAAGTGAATCCCTTAGCTACCAATCTTGCCTTGAATCTTTCAATTGAGCCATCAACTGTGTGCTTCATAGTGAAAACCTCTTTGCAGCCAACCAACTTCTTGATTAGTGGTGAAGTGACAAGTTCCCATGTTTTATTTTTTGACAAGGCTTTCCTTTCTTCAATCATAGCTTGCTTCCATTTAGGATCTGCAAAAGCTTCCCTCCAATTCAGGGGAATAGAGATAGAAGAAATAGACAAGACAAAGGCTCTATAAGAGGGAGACAAAGAATTATAAGAGACAGAATTAGATAAAGGGTGTTTGGTGGTACAAGATCTGACTTTTTTTCTGTGAGCAATAGGCAAATCTAATTCATTAGAAAATGTAGATAACTCACAAATAGAAGAAGGTTCAGTTTCAGCAGATTGCATGATGATTTCTTCTGCTCTATTTCTCCTTGAGTAAGTTTTCAAATCAGGCTTATCCAAACGTCCAATAGTGTCCCCCTAAATTTTTTCTCCAATTTCATTTTTCCCGGTGGTAGTGGTGGAACTTGGGAGAATCATCTCTTCCTCCTTATAGCTCTTCCCCTGAAGAGGTGATGTTGTAATACCGAAATATGGCTCAGATTCTCAAAAGGTAACATCCATGATGACAATGGATCTTCTGGAGGGAGGATTATGGCATTTGTACCCTTTCTCTGTTGGAGAATTCCCAATAAAGACGCATTTAAGAGCTCTAGGATCAAGTTTCCCAGAGTTTCTAGTGTCAACAAAGCAGACACCCAAAAAACCTTCGGAGGAATAGTATAATCATTCTTACCTTTTAAAGCTTGCAAAAGACTCTAAAAATTAAGGGTTTTAGGTGACATACTATTGATGAGATAGGCAACTACTAGAATGTCATTCCCCCAGTAAGGTTTTAGTAGGTTCATGGTAAACATAAGAGATCTTGCCACCTCTAACAAATGTTTATTTATCTCAATGACCGCAAACATGAGAAAACTTCACTTTTGGCTTTTAACAAATACACCCAAGTCATCCTAGTGCAACAATCAATAAAAGTAACAAATCAATCGACTACCAGATAAAGAAATTGTTTGAGTAGGACCCTATACATCAGAATGTATAGTCTAAAAAGGAGTTGTACTTTTATTATCACTCAAACAATAAGAATTTCTAGTATACTTGGCAAATTCATAAGCATCGCAAAACAAAAAAATCAATAAAAGTAACAAATCATCGACTACCAGATAATGAAACTGTTTGAGTAGGACCCTATACATCAGAATGTATAGTCTAAAAAGGAATTGTACTTTTATTATCACTCAAAGGATAAGACTTTCTAGTGTACTTGGCAAATTCACAAGCATCACAAAACAAAGATTCAAACTCAATTTTGGAAAACAAACTAGGATATAACTTCTTCAAAGCAAAAAATGATGGGTGCCCCATCCGTTTATGCCACAATATTGTTTCTTGATTGACATCCTTGTTTTCTCCAAAAAAAAAGCCTGACTAGAGTCTCGAGTTCCATCAATCCAATATAAGTCATCATGCAATCTACTACTGTCAATCCTCTTCCATGTTTGAAGATCCTAAAAATACAGTGATCAGGAAAGACTGTTTAGTTTTTTGTGATGGTGTTAACCGATAACAGGTTAACTTGAAACTCATACATGGAGAACAAATGATAATTTAATATAAGGTGTACAGACAAGAGAACCTGTTCCACAGACAGGAGTTAGTGAGCCATTGGAGAGTAGTTTTGAAAGCCTTTAGAGAAGCTTGTCATGTGTCTATTCGCACCAGAATCAATAAATCCAAGAATTAAGGTGATCATTAAAGGCAATACCTGACTACATGTAATTGAAAGTAGTAGAAGAGTCAAGTTTGTTCAGGAGACGGCGAGGATAGTGAACTTAATTTGAAGACAAAGCTTCTACAGGAGCAGTTTCCCGGGATGTCTCTACATTTTTTGCTGATCCCTTGTGTGAGAATGCACGGGAGAAGAATCTTGTATTGATGTTAATTGTAATACAATGAACCCTATTTATAAGTACACATAATATATAACCTACTCCTATTACCTATGCGACTAGGACTAATTACATATTCACATAGCTATTCTAACACGTACATACAAATCATATGTACCAAGCTTGTTACATATATAACTAGTACGAGAATCAATGAGGGACTTGGTGAAAATATCTGCAAGCTTATCTTTCGACTTCACAAACTTTGTAGTAATATCTCCTGAGAGTATCTTTCTCTGACGAAGTGACTGACAGTCAATCTCAATATGTTTAGTTCTTTCATGGAACACTGGATTCGATGCAATATGAATGGAAGCTTGATTATCACACACAAGTTCCATTTGGCTGATCTCACCACATTTCAACTCCTTGAGCAACTGTTTGGTCCAAACTAGCTCATATGTTGCCATAGCCATTGTTCGATATTCTGCTTCTCACTAGACCGAGCAACAATTTCTGTTTCTTGCTCTTCCAAGACACCAAGTTACCTCCTACTATAACACAATATCCAGACGTAGAACGTCTATCAGAAGATGATCCTGCCCAATCAACATCTGAGTATCTAACGATCTGCTCATGGCCTCGATCCTTAAACAATAGTCCTTTGCGTGGAGCTGATTTTATTTATCGAAGAATGCAGACAACTGCATCCTAATGACTATCACAGGAAGAATCCATAAACTGACTTACAACACTCACAGGAAAGGAAATGTCAGGTCTAGTCACTGTGAGGTAATTTAATTTACCAACCAACTGCCTATATCTCGCAGGATCGCTAAAAGGCTCCCCCTGCCCTAGCAGAAGTTTAGAATTCGGATCCATAGGAGTGTCAACAGGTCTACAACCTGTTCTCAAGAATGTCTAAGGCATACTTCCGTTGTGAGATCACAATATCTGAGCTAGACTGAGCGACCTCAATACCTAGAAAATACTTTAATCTTCCCAGATCCTTAGTCTAAATGTGTTGAAAGAGATGTTGCTTGAACTTAGTAATACCATCCTGATTATTGCCTGTGATAACAATATCATCAACATAAACCACCAGATAAATATAGAGATTTGAAGCAGAATGCCGATAAAACACAGAGTGATCAGCTTCACTACGAGTCATACCAAACTCCTGAATAACTGTGCTGAACTTACCAAACCAGGCTCGAGGAGACTGCTTTAGACCATAGAGGGACCGCCGCAACTGACATACAAGGCCACTAGACTCCCCTGAGCAACAAAACCAGGTGGTTGCTCCGTATAAACCGTGAAGAAAAATATTCTTAATGTCCAACTGATAGAGAGGCTAATGGCGAACATCAGCCATTGATAGAAAAAGGCGGACTAATGTTATTTTAGCCATAGGAGAGAAAATATCACTGTAATCGAGCCCAAATATCTGAGTATACCCTTTGGCAACAAGACGAGCCTTAAGTCGATCAACTTGGCCATCTGGACCAACTTTGACTGCATACGCCCAACGACAACCAACAGTTGATTTACCCGAAGGAAGAGAAACAAGCTCCCAAGTACCACTCGTATGTAAAGCAGACATCTCGTCAATCATAGCTTGTCGCTATCCTGGATGAGACAGTGCTTCACCTGTAGAATTAGGGATGGAAACAAAGGACAAAGATGATACAAATGCACAGTGGGGTGATGACAGACGATGGTAACTTAAACCGACATAATGAGGATTAGGATTAAGAGGAGACAATGGGGTGATGACCGAATACCTTTCCGTAGTGCAATCGGTTGACTAAGAGGAGACAAGTCCGCAGTATTAGCAGGGTCAGGTGCAGGACGTGAATCAGGTGGGCCTGATGCTGGGCGGGGACGACGATGATAAGTGGTGGAGCTGCAATGATAGTATTTGGAACGGAGACAGGGGGCTAAAAATGAGGCTCAACTAATGTGTGAAATCTTCTAGCTCCCAACCATTAAGGTTTCTTCTGAAGAGGATAAAACTCCTTCTGCCTTACATCTGAAATAGAAGCATAAGGGCTAGAAGTACATCTGAAGATTGGGAGGAGTAGAGGTGGCAAAATTAACCCATTTATGTGTAACCCGGCCAAACTTATATGGGTTGGGCTATAAGAAGGGGAAGATGATAGCAACATGACGACGAACTTATATCATTAAGAAGACCGAAATGCTTTATGAAAGGTTAATCGAGAGTTGACCAAGTTTGGCCAATGTTGATCACATGTTTGACCCATGTTGATCACGAGTTGTCCAAGACTTGACCATCATTAGGGTTTCCGGGATGACTGAAGCATGGTCACACACCCCATTAGCCTCACGACTCCTAAAGTTATGTCAGGACATTTATTTTTTTGAAGCACTTGGACTTGGGCACAAGCCATTACTTAGCTAGTGGTATAAATAGGAGTAATGTAGGGTTTTTACATAATTTATAATGAATTTCCGATGAAGAATTATCTTGAGCGAGCCTCTTTGTGGGATATCATTTACCTCTTCAATTGAACCTCTTTTGGATTTTTCTAGTAAGGATTCATGTGCGAGTTCAATTTCTCTTCACCCTTGGATTGATTTTCTTGCAGATGAATTGCTAATTAGTGGGTCTACTAGTTTCTTCCGCTATTGGATTTTATGCTTTTCTTTATAATTATATCTCTATCTTCTCCTCACTTTCTAGTTTTCAATTTCCCTGTGTTTAATTCCGTCGTCAAATTGGTAAGCTAATTAAACTTAATCCTTTCTTACACTGTAGGAGAAAGACAAAGGGAAATTCATGAAATCGAGGAGCAATAGGTTACTCCATGTCAGGGAGTTGTGCGGTAAAGTCATTGTATCCGGAAAAGGGAAATTAAATTTTCAAATGGAATTCCTGAAGAAACAAGCATCATGCCCTCTGGTGTGCTCCCTGTGTCTTTAATCTTTGTGTTGATTTCATTGTGCATATCCTTGACGGCTGTATATAAATCTGGAAATAGTCCCTAGTTGAGCTTCCATATTGCTGGTTATTATATTTTGGTTCAGTAGTTGAAATTTTGGTACATGAAAATTGACAAGCAAAGGCCGAGAAAAGTGGGTTTGGTTCCGTATAGTGTAAGTTGGTCATAGGCATTTGGTTATGCATCCTTAGCCTTCGAGCATAAAACAAAGATCTAATTGAATTTGATACAAAAACCAAACCAGAAAAATGTAAATCAGATATCCAGATAAACAGTCTATCAAAATATTCAAGTCATATTTATGAAGATAGCAAAAATGCTGTCATTCAATTTAGTTCAACATTTGGAACTCTAGCACAGAGAAAATCATAATTGAGCCCCAATATGAGTTGTGCGGTTGATTCTCAAGGGACCTCACTGTTGATTTTCCCCATTCTTGGTGCTGCCAATCCCGGAGTTCATCAAAAATTGATGTCATTTCATCTTCAAAACTATAATGTTCGTAATGTTGAAGGTTGAAAGCCCTGCAACTGTTATCATCTCCTATTAAGCGTGATATATTACTAGTTGAGGTGTTATACCTTCTTTTTCTTGTTGACCTAACTATTGCATAATTGACCATGACTGCTATCTACTTACGGTCAACTAGATGGATGACACTTTGACAATACACTGTATCATTTTACTAGACTAGAGTAACTGGTGCGTAAAATTTACTCTAGAAAAATGAAGCGCTCTTGTTGAATATCATAAATTTCAGGCTTCACTGAAGAGAATAAATGGATTTGTTGCATTTGCTTGATCACGAAGGTTGATATCACGTGCAGACAGTAATTAGCCCATACCACCCAGCTCCCTAACTTGCAATACCAAAATAAAAGGTTAGGCATTTCAAGTTCAAGTTACTATTTCTTATAATTGTCTTTAGAAATAAGCGTTTCTTGACAAGATAAAAGTTCTATTGCTAATCACCAATCAGTACAGAAACAGCACCAAGAAGGTCCTACTATTTACAAGAGAGTTACAAAGATCATAACTCCCATATTTCCCTAGGAGATTTGAGAAAATCCACTAATGTGTCCATATTATACATATCTTCATATTGTACAAAAAGCTAACAGAACAAGTATGCGCAGATAGACAGAAAGTCGCCTTGCAACTAATGAAGTTAGTAAAGTTTTTGACTATGATTCGTACATCGCTGGTACACTGGGGGGCTCCAGAGGCGTTGCCGCAGGCGCCACGTCCCAACATGAGGTGTTCCAAAAGGAACTTAAGAGAAAAGAATAAGACTGGATCTCCTAACCTAATGTAATGAACGAGAAGGTGAAAAATTCAGTTTTAGCTAAGCATTCGAATTCTGGGTAAGAGAAGAAATCTTCTTTCATCCCCGAGCGGCAATCAAACGTGGGCGTGAATGCGAGATAGCGGAATGATCGACCGGGTACGCTTTGACTAGTTTGTAGTTTTTTCTGGGGCTATTTATTCTAAATTTCCCTCGCCTAGAGTAGAAGGATAGATAAAAAGCAGGCTAAGCCTGTATTAGCTCTTTTCAGGTTGATAAGGTGGAATTAAAAACTTTGGAGCACATCCTTGTGTGGTAAGCATATACTATCTCCGTTCCAGTTTATGTGAACCTATTTCGTTTTTGGTCTGTTCCAAAAAGAATGATCCCTTTCTAAATTTGGAAACAATTTAGCTTAAACTTACAATTCTACCCTTAATGAAAAGCTTTTATAGCCACACAAATACTCTGGGCCCCTTTTCAACTTATTTAGGACCACAAATTCCAAAAGTCTTCATTTTTTCTTAAACTCCGTGCCCAATCAAACAGGTTCACATAAATTGGAACGGAGGTAGTAGCTTTTTTTCCTGGACTCTGATAGCTCTGCATATGATTCTATGGTGGTCCAGGGGGAGTTCCCTGCGGCCTATATATAAAGCTATATAGTTATAGTTTAAATGGCAACATATATATATATTTTTTTGTGTATGCGTGCCTGAAGCTCCTTTGAAAATTTTAAACTAATGATAGCGATTCATGGTATTGAATATGTCATGCTTTACCATTGACATTTGGAGAAAAAAAGGAACCAATGTGAAGCCATTAGACCTGGGGCTTTCTCACCTTCACATCATTCAACAATTCAATTACCTTTTTTCCCCTTTTTATATATAAGAAATTACCTTTTGTTCTTTTCCTACAGAAAATGTCTTCATCCCATGGTTATGAATCTTGTTATTTTTTCTTGTTATTTAATCAGTTTCTTTTCCCAGTTCTAACTTATTCTTTCACAACATTTGGGCTTGGTGTTGTATGGACGGTTACACCGTTACAATGGACTAGTGGAGTGAGTTTACCTGCTAAATTTCCATCTCTGGGGTGAAATTAGTTCTCTCATTAGTGTCGTTTTGATATATAGGATTTGTGTCTATTCCATTATGATTGAGGCAACTACATGGGAAGTATATTCAGTACTAACTGACATCGAAGGTGGGCCGTTGGGTGGCATTTTCTCCCTTCTTGATAAATAAGTGAAGATTTTTAGGAAGAAGAAAAGACTTCTTTGTATTTCTGTTTGATGTTACATCTCCATGAACAAGAGAATTTATACAAAGCTCCTTTTGCTAATTAAGCCAACAAAATCATTTAGTACAATCAGTACAACTATCAATGCCTATAATCAAGATATTAAATAAAATAAAATGTTCCTAAAAATAAAGCCAATCAGCACTCCCACCCAAGTTGGTGCAAAGATCACACATGGCCAACTTGCAAGGCAGTGTATGACAAATCCGTTTGTTGAGACCTTTAGTAAAACACATCAACTACTTCTCTGATGACACATGAAAAACAAAGTCAAGACACCACTATAACTTTTTCTTTGGTGAAGCATCAATTAATTTCAACATGCTTTGTTCAGTCATACAGGAGTGGATTATGAGCTATACTAATCAGCCATATTGTCACAATCTCAATTCTCTTATTACTCTCAGATTTATATTATGTCATGTTGTTTTGTTTGTTCCAATTTTCGTATTTCCCTGTTGGACTATTTGGTACTAATTCTTTTCTCCCTTTCTTCTTCTTCTACTACTACTACTACTACTACTATTGGAAACAACCTCTCTACTTTCACTAGGTAGGGGTAAGGTCTGCGTACACACTACCCTCCCCAAATCTCACATGTAGGAATATACTGGGTATGTTGTTGTTGTCAATTCTCTCGGTAACTTTTGTAACCAAAGTTCTCAAACACCCAGCGCCTTAGCTTTATATTTTGTTTTTGCACTTGATTTAGCAACTACACGTTTCTTGCTTCTCCAGGTAACTAAGTTTCCTCTTACTAGTGTACAGTAACCGGACATAAATTTTCTATTATCTAGAGATCCAGCCCAATCCACATTTGTATAGGCTTCTATTGGAGGTGACCATGTTTGGAGAAAAGCAAATCTTTGCATGGAGTAGACTTCAGATACCGCAAAATATGAAAGACAACTTGCGTATGAGAATCCTGGGGATCATGCATGAACTTACCCACCAAGCTGACTTAATAGGCTATATCTGGTCTAGTGTGGGAGAGTTAAATGAGTCTTCCAACCAATCTCTGATATCTCTCCTTATCAACAGACTCTTCAACTCCTGCTTATAACTTGTGAGTTGTGATTGCTTTCAATAGGCGATTCTGTTAGTTTGCAGCCTATCATATTAATTTCTTTCAAGAAACCTAAGAAATACTTTCTTTGTGAAATAAAAATTCCCTTATTTGATCTAACAACCTCAATTCCCAAGAAGTACTGCAATTTCCAAGATCCATCATCTCAAATTCTTGGGCCAATTTATTCAATCGACCAATCTCCTCTTTTCATCTCCTGTCATTACTATGTCATCGACATAAACTATCAGACTAGTGAGTTACCTCTTTGGTGTCTTATGAAGAGGGTATGATCGACATTGCTTTGTTGGTAACCAAAGGAGATCATTGCTTTGCAAAATCTGTCAAACCAACCTCTAGAGAATTCATGTTAGTTTACAGATATATATAGTGTAGTCTTGTCCCATATTGGAAGAGGAGTAATATCTCCTTGTAGTGTATAGCTATAAATAGGGACCTCTTGTATTGTATTTATCATCCAATATCAATAACATATTTTCTCCCGTGCCTTCTCACATGGTATCAGAGCATTAGTGAGAAAAGATCGCTGTGCGTCATTCCAGCGTTAACCGGGAAGAAAAAACTTAGTCATCGTGCAATTTTTCAGGTGACCTTAGGCCTGTCCAAGTGAAAGTTACTTTCTGTCGGTGTTGTGCTAAAACCAACACCACCACGCGCCGGTAACAACTTTTCCGGCGAGGGTTCCGACCATTTTTTCGCGAAGCTTCTACAGGACAGTGTGCTCTCCTCAAAATTCCGAGCCTACCCATCTAATTCAAATCAAATTCATACCACTTTTATATTTTTCCGACGTGAACAGTGACCTTTCCGGCCATTTTTTGAAAACATTTCTTCAGGAAAGCTTGCTCGCAAAGGAATTCCTAGTCTATCCATCCTGGTTACGACAAATTCCGACAATTTTGGAATTTTCCGGTGAGCTAGTGTTTCCGGCGTGAACAGTGTTTCCGACGCAGAAACAATGTTCTGTTTTCCTGATGTAAACAGTGTTTTTCAAGCTATTTCTTCAGTTTTCTCACAGGAGTTACTTATTTCCATTATTTCAAGTTAACCCTACTACTACAAATTGTAGCGACATGGGAACCAATGCTTTGAATAGTCGGATGGTTTCTTTAGCAGATTATATTGAGTTCCTTCAGTACAAAGCATGTAAGCAGACATCTTCTGAGATAGCTTCTGTTGTTCAAACAGGTAATAGCGTGACTTGTTTCTCCCAATCTTCATCCTCCGAGTCTTGGGTCATTGATTCAGGTGCACCAGATCATATTTCTGGTAACAAATCTCTT